TTCCTTCGCACCCTCCTGTCCCCGCTATGCCCCCAACCCCCCCTCCCACCTATCCTCTCAACCCCTCCCACCTCTCCTCTCCCCCTCCCCTTCCGTCTCTCTCTCACTCTCTCTTCTTTCTCTCTCTCCATCTTCCGTCCTCGGCTCACCCCCTTCCACGCACTCCTCTCCTTCTTCCGTCTGTCATGCTCTCGCTGCGTCAGGCGCTGCGGCTGGAGGAGTTCGGAGTGGCGAGGGCGGACAGCGGGCGCGTGTGCTACCTGAGGGACCTGCGGGACGCGGACAGGCTCGTCGCCACCATGGCCGCCTGCAAGGGGGGCACCGCCGTGGTCATTGGGGGCGGCTACATTGGTGAGCGCCGCGTATAATGGGTGGTGGGTGGGTTTATGGGACTGAATCAAGGGCGGGGAAGGGGGGGTTGGGGGTGGGGGTGGGGTTGGGGGTGCGGGTGGGGGTGCGGGTGGGGGTGCGGGTGGGGGTGGGGGTGGGGGTTGTTGTGCACCTATCCACCAGATGATCCTGCATGGGCCGTTCACGTGTTACTGCTGCGTTGCGTTGTAGAGAAGCGATGGTGCCTGAGGTGCTGGTTTGCAACTGTGACTGGGATTCCATCATTGGCATGACTGGCCCCACTCACAATACGGGATTGTGCGGTATGGCTTTGCGTGGCATGGGTTTGCATGGTTGCATGTCACGTGATTGTCTTGCAGGCATGGAAGCAACAGCTGCACTGGTGGCCAACGGCATTCGCGTCACTATGGTCTTCCCTGAGCCTCACTGCAGTGAGTAATTGAAGGGCATGGACTAGCAAACCCGAACCGAACCCATGCGCTTTTTGCGGTTACTCTTTCCTGATTGCATGGAAGTTACATAGTGGCAAAATTATGTGCCTGTGTGTGTGTCCATAAATGCATCCTGGGTTGATGGGGTTTGCGGTTTGGTGTGGGGATGGAAATGGGGGGTGAATGCGAGGGTGGGAGTGTGATTGGTGTGTGAGCAGTGCCTCGTCTGTTCACCCCGGAGATAGCAGCGTTCTACGAGCGACTGTACGAGGAGAAGGGGGTCAAGTTCATCAAGGGCTCGGTCATTGTGGGCTTCGAACGGGACCGCACAACAAACAATGTATGTGCCTACCAACCCACTCGTGCACCACTCACAATCTTTGTCAACCCATGATTTTCCCTTGCCCTGGCATGTATCTATCCTTTCGATTTATCCCTCAACTTAACCACGCTCCTATCCAAGTTTTCCTCTCCTACCCTCGTCCCTCCGTTCACCACCACTCCCAACCTCAACCCAAAACCCCCCTTGTACCTTGATTGGTTGTGTCCTCTTGCCCATCACTTCTGACCTGCCAGTATAGTTGACCTCAGTGATTCCTCCTCCGCTTTCATTCTTCGCATTTCCTCTACTTATTGAAACGCACTTCAAATCTTATTTCTTCCTCTCTCCCCTCCCATCCCCTCCCCACCCCACCTCAACACAAACCCTCCGCATGCCGCTGGTTGTGTCCTTGTGCCCATCCCACCTGCCCCGGCACCACAGGTGGCGGCAGTGGTGCTGAAGGACGGGCAGCACATAGCAGCGGACATGGTGCTGGTGGGCATCGGCATCCGCCCCAACACAGCGCCCTTTGAGGGCCAGCTAGCCATCGACAAGGGCGGCATCCGCGTCTCCCCTCGCATGCAGACCTCAGACGCCTCAGTCTACGCCATTGGTGATGTGGCTGCCGTTCCCCTGGGGACCTACGGCGGGGCGAGGAGACGCCTGGAGCATGTGGACCATGCGAGGAAGTCGGCTGCTGCGGTTGTGCAGGCGATCATGGCGCCGAGAGGGGCTCCCTCGCGGTACGACTACGTGCCGTACTTCTACTCACGGGTGTTTGACCTGTCGTGGCAGTTTTACGGGGATAATGTGGGCGAGTGCATTTTGTTTGGGGATGAGATGTCCATGAGACGAGCTTCTGGGTTGGCAACAGGCAGTGGCGCTGTTGCTGATGATGCTTCTGGAGCGGAGCCAAGGGGCATGGAGGAAGTGCATTTGGGAGCAAGCACACCGGAAGAGTCCAAGAAGAAAGAAGGGTCAGAACAGAGACCAGCATCAGGACCACCAGTGTTGAGTCAACCCACATCGGACAGCGGCAAGCAAGGGAGATCAGAAAGGAAGGTCAGGGCGCACCGTTTGGGGGCGTTCTGGGTGGATAAGGGCCGGCTGGTGGGATGCTTCCTGGAAGGTGGAACGAAGGAGGAATATGAGGTTTTGGCTGCTGCTGCTCGTGCCTGCCCCAAGGTGCAAGACAAAGCTGTGCTGGCAGAGCAAGGGACCCAATATCTGCTTGAATTGGTGGCCAGAGGGCAGCTGCAAGTGCCAGGAGCAGGAAGACTGGCAGGAGGAAAGACGGTTGCACCAAATGCTGTAGGTGAGAAGGGGAAGGTGGGTAGTGGACAGCGGGTTGAAAAGGGCAGTACATTAACAAGAGGAGAAGTGGGAGGACAAGCTGTGGGGGAGAAACCTGTTGCAGCTGGTGGGGTGGCTGTGGGACAGAGTGACTTCTTAATGCAGGCAACTACAGGAGTGGCTATTGCTGCAGGCATTGTGGCATTGGCGTACTGGCATGGGCACAAGCTGCGGAGATTGTGGTGATGAATGGTGGTTGAACATTTTGACGGTGATCATCTGGTCAATGGTGTAAATGGTGGAAGCTGGTTTTGGCGATTGGTGTACCCTATGCGGCGGATATATGCTCAGAGAAACAAATCCTGCATTTTCAAAGACCAAATGGATTTGGGTATGAACAATGTTCCATGTGAATGAAGTGTCGTAGTATGGTAGCCGTGATATACGTACTGTATCCTCTGATTCTTTTTAAGTATCAACAGTGCTCTGGAAGCTGAGGGCGTGTTCCTACGGCCTCTCATCAGGCGAACCTCTTGTCAGATTCGCGTCGCACCGCACTGAAACGGGCATAATAACATTCGATCGCATTGAATCGCATTGAACCGCACAAGTCTGACAAGAGGTCGCCTGATAAGGGGCTGTAGGAACACGCCCTGAATGAAAAAAGACACCCTAAACCTTTAAAAATGAAGGAAAGAAATAAAGAAAAAAAATCCGACCAGGGTTCAAGAACGTGAGAAAAATCCAACCAGGGATCATGTCATACGGATGAATGTTGATTGTGGTTGTTGTGCATATGATGATGGACTCGTATTCAGCACCTGGCGAAACACAGTGGGGGTGCTCATACCGAGTCATTTTGCAATGCATGGGCAAATCATCGCTGTACGGTGTACCCCATCCTGTTAGCAACTCAACTACCACCATTTTGCTTGGCTTGGAGGGGAGAGTCTTACCAGCATGCAGGCTGTTGTGTTGGAAAGCTTTTACCCTATTTTATGACTTTACAGCAAATGTTTTATTCAGCTTCCCATACAAACTAAGGGTACATTCTTGGCTCGTGTCTGACATGAGGTCAGACACGAAGTGAAGTTGAGGAAGACCCGAAGTGACCTGGAACTCTAGCAAATCAATGTTCGGAAGACCCGAAGTGGGCCACTTCGGGTCTTCCGAACCTCCATCCAAACCTCCACTTCGTGTCTGACACGAGGTAGGAATTACCCCAAGTATTATTGCAGTTGAGAATGTGACAATGTGCTACTGCAGACTAGAACCATTTTGTACAGTATACTCATAACATGAACGGATTGTTGTTTTGAGTCCCTAGATTGTCAATGGCTGGTAGTGTTGACATAGCGACCAAGGGTGACATTGCAGGTTGCAATGATGCCACCGGTCGCACTGGAAGCTGCTCTGTACCAGGAGCAACTGCCCATGGCACCAGCCTTCCAGAAACAGCTTGCGGGCCATATGAATACTGGCCAATGCGTGTTGCCGATGCAGATGGGGTTCCCAGGTCCTTTGCAGATGAAGCTGCAGCTGGAAGAGCAGAGGTATTTGTAACTGAAGCAGCAGACAAGTCAACCACACCATTCACAACACCAGGAACCGTGGAGAAGGCCTGTTCTGGTCCCTGCTCGTTTGGCCAATCGAAGTCCAGCGATTTCGATCTCCTTGAACTGTAATAGTAAAAAAACAAAATCAGTCAACCTCGTCAGGTAGGTGCTCCTTAGCTAATGCTAGAAACATACCGTTGACGCTGTAGTGGCAGAGGGAATGCCTTGATAGGTTGGCTGACAGCATCCTCATCTTCTGCAGGAGCAAATTGATGTGGTTTCTCTGACGATCCGCCAAAACGGGTATCAATGTTGGAAGAGTCTGGGTAGCTGACTGATCTTCTGTGTCGGCGAGTATCACTGGGTGGTGGTGGCAGCGCAGGGATCGGACTCCGGAAGACAGAATCCTTCGAAGCTTCAAACGGTGACATTATCGTGAGAGTTTGCAGTGAATGTAAAAACGAATTCCCGCCTATCTCTCCACTAGAAAATGCTTCAGGATTGCTCGAAGATCGTGATGTTCCGTTTGAGGATGCTTCACTGGAGTAAGTCCCTTGGTGTCCCATTTTCATTCTCTCTTCGTCAGCAAGAGACTCGGACAGAAGAAGGTTTAAAACAGCAGCAGCCTGCGTAACGGGGGGTTGGAGGGGTTGTGGAGGGTGGTGCCATTAGAACATAATCTTAAGGCAGCAAGGTCCAGCATTAACTGAAGTACCTTTACACGAACAGAATATCCATGGTCGGTGCCATCTCTCTTGTCCACACAACGAAAATCTTTCGAGAAAACTTCCAGCTGCAAAAAAAAAAGATGTAATAAACAAGACAATTCGAATCGCTACTAGGGCACTCAGAATTTTGCACAAAATCAGCCTAACAAACCATGGTGAGGTATTTCTTCCGAAGATCTTCCCGTATGTGACCGGCTCCATAGATGATAAGGTGCTCGACAACCACCAATGAGTTATACACCTTGTTCCTGGTAAGAACGAGCCATAGCAGATAATGATTTCCATGGTTTATTTTCCCAATTATAATTTCTTCGGATTCTTACCATGAACTCGGTTTTTTAACCCCCCTGTCCAGCCGATAAGCGATCACATCCATGATCGAAGCGTAGGAATCAGTGTTACAAGAAGCATCGGCGAGTTCCTGCAGCAATTTTGGGCACGTCAGGATTTCCAACGGTCAAACAATGTCACAGCCAACATTCATACCTTCAAAAGAGATAGTGGAGGCCTCACTGGAACGTCCTTGGTGATCTGTCGTGTAATATTTGCAACATGAATATCACCGTGCTTACTGGACTTCGACTTGTTGAAAGAGATTCCCAACAACCTCCTACTACCCAAAACACCTTTAAGAGACTCCATCGGTCTCTCAAAGATTTGATTAAGCTGCGTGAAGAATGTAAAAAGGCTAGCAGCAAAAAGAAACCTTCAGGCGTGGCTTATGCATGGATCAACCAGGTCATTACATCCTCGCACAACTCGGCGACTGACAGGTCGACTACCTAGCTAAGGCAATAACAGGCTTGACGTGTGATCACCCTCGTCGGAAGACGCATTGTTCATTCGAATCGCAATGCTTGAAGCATTGAGGCCAGGCGACGCATCCGCTACAATGCATGCAGCAGAGCTTTGTATTACCTCAAATTGATATAAAGGTAATGAATACAGGAATCATAATTCCTTACTCCACTCGCCTTTTGCAGGTACAATTCCGAGGGCCACACGTCAGTTTCGTTCGGCCTACATTTCCGCCCCGAACCACTTCCAAGTCGCCCCCGCTCCAATCGCAACATCCAAGGGCCATCGACCGACCTTCCCGCCAAGCTAGGATTTCCCCTATTTAGGCTTGCTACCGTCACCCCCCGGATAAGCCCCCATGGGGGGGTATAGTATAACATGTTTTTGTAGGGGGGTGGGCTAATAATCAGGGATTTTTATAAGCGCCGGGGCTTATACAGTGACATATAAAATCTAATTGTTTTCACTCCAAGGTGTTCATCTTGTCATTGCGATTTCAATCGAGTCAAGATTACAGAGAGTTGTGAACAAGAATCTCGCGTAAGTTTGCAAGCTGCCAACACACACAGTCAGAATGAGTCATTTCGCCCCATGACAGCTCATTTTGACCGGACGCGCAGGCACAGTGAGTCGTGCGAGGGTGAAGGGTTGAAATTTCAGAATGTCAGGATGCAAATAGTGTGTTTCGCTACAGAGATTCCAGTAACTTTATAAAAACAGATACAAACGGTGGCTCTTATAATACGTAAGCCTTCAGGAGTGGGCTTATAATCGAGGAGCGGATATAAGCGCCATATGCCAATTACAAGCGCCTGGCGCTTATCCCAGGGTGGCGCTTATATCCGGGGGGGTGATGGTAATTTCCTTGTATCGTGATTCAGTAATTTGACATTCTCGTTATTCGTTATTTTGCGCACTCTGCAAATTCATTCATAACACCTGGTATCAGAGCTACTTTCCTAGCCTACCCCGCTTTTAGAGTGTAATACCCCTTGGAGGGGGGTCCAGGAGCTGCGCGGAGGCCCGTTAGGAGAACGTGCTAGTTGCTCCTCGCGGCCATAATTTTACGGGGCACTCCTTGGTACCGCCGGATCCTTGCCGTGAACGGTCGCGATTGACCGTGACCTCCCTTCCCCCCTTGAAACGGATAGCTGTGACTGTCGCGACGTTTAAATGTCAAAACCATATTGTAGGCTGTAGTGGGGCACTCCTTATGGGGTACAGTATTGTTAGGTTTTGCATATACAAACCTTGTACTGCCCTGTTTCTAGTCATTCCCTCGTTATTATTTCTCACATGGTATTAGAGCAGAATCGTTCCTAGGGCCCACCAAACGTTCCGCCCTGCCCTAACTGATTTTTTTTTTTTTTAGCTGCCCCTGCAGCCGCGCTGCCCTTGCAGCCCGCGTGCTGCCTCTGCGACCGTGCTGCCCCTGCAGCCGTGCCTGTCCCTGCGACCGTGCTGCCCCTGCGACCGTGCTGCTCCTGCCGAGCCGCGTGTCGCCCCTGCAGCCCGTGGGCGCTGCCTCTGCAGCCCGCGCACCGCCCTGCAGAGCCGCGTGCAGCCCCTGCAGCCCATGGGCGCTGCCCCTACGGCCCGCGCGCCGCCCTGCCGAGCCGCGCGTCGCTCCTACTCGTCGCGACGCCCCTACGGGACCCGTGCAGCGTCCCCCCCTGCACGTCGCGGCGCCCCCTGGACGCCGCCCCTACCCGTCGCGGCGCCCCCGGGGCGTCGCCCCTGCTCGTCGCGGCGCCCCCTGGGCGCCATCCGTACTCGTCGCGGCGCGCGCGGGGCGTCGCCCCTGCTCGTCGCGGCGCCCGCGGGGCGTCGCCCCTGCTCGTCGCGGCACCCCCTGGGCGCCGTCCCTACCCGTCGCGGCGCCCCCAGGGCGTCGCCCCTACTCGTCGCGGCGCCCCCTGGGCGCCGTCCCTCCTCGTCGCGGCGCCCCCGGGGCGTCGCCCCTGCTCGTCGCGGCGCCCCCTGGGCGCCATCCCTCCTCGTCGCGGCGCCCCCGGGGCGTCGCCCCTGCTCGTCGCGGCGCCCCCTGGGCGCCGTCCCTCCTCGTCGCGGCGCCCCCGGGGCGTCGCCCCTGCTCGTCGCGGCGCCCCCTGGGTGCCGTCCCTACCCGCCGCGGCGCCCCCGGGGCGTCGCCCCTGCTCGTCGTGGCGCCCCCTGGGCGCCGTCCCTGCTCGTCGCGGAGCTCGCCCTGCAGCAGCTGCCGCGGAGCCCCCTGCCGGCGTCGCGGCCCCGCCCTACAGCAGCTGCCGCGAAGCCGCCTGCAGCAGTCGCGGCCCCGCCCTGCAGCAGCTGCCGCGGAGCCCCCAGCAGCAGTCGCGGCTCCGCCCTGTAGCAGTTGCCGCAGAGCCCCCCCCCTGCCGCAGTCGCGGCCCCGCCCTGCAGCAGCTGCCGCGGAGCCCTCCTGCCGCTGTCACGGCCCCGCCCTGCCGCTGTCGCGGCCCCGCCCTGCAGCTGTCGCGGCCTTACCGTCGCCGCCGTCGGCCCTTCCCGCCACTGGTGAGCACCTGCCCTACCAGCGCTTCCCGCGCGCCTGCCTTGCTAGCGCGCTGCCGCGCCGGCCTGCTTGCCTGCCTCCCGCGCCTGCTTGCCGCGCCTGCCTGCCAGCCAAGCCGCGCCGCCCAGCTGAGCCGCGCTGCTCAGCCGCGCCGAGCCGCCTAGCCGAGCCGCGTCGTGCTGCCGAGCTGTGCAGCCCTGCTCTACTGAGCCGCACCGCCCTGCCCGCGCTGCTACTGCTGCTACTGCTGTTCCTGCTGTTCCGGCTGCTGCTACTGCTACTACTGCTACGGCTGCAACTGGCGGTGGCCAGATGCAGCTCCAGCGTTGTCGGCGTGAGTCCCTCACGCCCCAGCAGCTTCGTGAGTGGTACGCTAGTTGGGGTTGTAGGGGTGGCCGTGGTGGGAGTCGCCATGGAGCGGGTCGTTCGGAAGCTTCTTGTAGTGGCCAGGTGCAGCTGCAGCGGCGTCCGCGCAAGATCCTTTCGCCCCAGCAGCTTCGTGAGTGGTACGCTAGTTGGGGTTGTAGGGGTGGCCGTGGTGGGAGTCACCCTGGAGCGGGTCGTTCGGGAGCTTCTTGTAGTGACTAGGTGCAGCTGCAGCAGCGTCCGCGCGCGGTGGTGTCGCCCCAGCAGCTTCGTGAGTGGTACGCTAAGAGTAGAGGGTCACGGAGTACTGCTCGCTGCCCGTACGTCATTCGCACTGGTGCTCGGGCTGGTCAGCCTTGCGGGACGGTTGGTCACACAGAGTCCCGCTGCTTCTCCTGTCTGAGCGACGCCTGGCGTACAGAGTTTGGCGACGACGCGTAGCTCCCCTCATGGCTGGAGCTACTTAGGCAGAAGGTAGATATCTTTGCTCTTGACTATGATGCTATCCTCACTTCCATGTATGCATTGCTTACTAGTGCTAAGGGTGCTTGTTCCCTGTGTGTGCCGCCTGACCCAGGTATAGAGTCTGCTGCTCTAGGTGCTGGTGAGGCTGCTGCTCTAGGTGCTGGTGCGTCTCCTGCTCCAGGTGCTAGTGAGGCTGCTGCTCTAGGTGCTAGTGAGTCCACTGCTCCAGGTGCTGGTGAGTCTGCTCTCTCTGGTACTGCGCCTGCTGCGGCCTTGCACACTTTCACCCTTGACTCGGGTGCTTCCCGCTCCTTCTTTCGCGACTGCACCACACTCTCGCCGCTCGGTCGGCCGGTGGCAGTCTCTCTGGCTGACCCCTCTGGGGGTCCGGTCCTTGCACAATCCTCCACGGTTCTGCCGTGTCCGGCGGTCCCGTCTGGCTCTCTGTCTGGTCTCCACCTCCCCTCGTTCTCCACGAACTTGGTGAGTGGAGCTGACCTTCAGGACGTGTGGGTTGACCAGTTCACTCCTGGAGGTCAGCGGGTGACCCACTGTTCGTGTACTTGGACGGGCCGGCACCTGGCCACGTTCACCCGTCAGCCTGGGTCGAGCCTCTACACCCTGACTACCGTGTCTCCTCCGGTTGCTGAGTCTGGTCAGGTAGCCGCGTCGGGTCAGGTGTTTGCTGCAGCGACCTGTTCTGGTCCTGAGTCTGCCCCCTGCTCGTGTCGCCTCCTGTCTCACCAGACTCTCCTCTGGCACCACCGCCTTGGTCACCCCTCCCTGCCTCGTCTCCGAAGCATGGCCTCCCGTGTCCTTGTCACTGGTCTTCCCCGGTCTCTCCCTCCCCTTCCCCCGGGGCCTGCCCCTACATGCGTTCCTTGCGTTGAGGGGCGGCAGCGCGCCGCTCCTCACTCCTCCGAGTTCCCTCCGACGGAGGCTCCCCTGCAGACTCTTCACATGGACGTGTGGGGCCCAGCCCGCGTCCGTGGACAGGGTCACGAGCGCTACTTTCTGCTGGTCGTTGACGACTACTCGCGTTACACCACAGTCTTCCCCTTGCGCCGCAAGGGTGAGGTCACTGAGGTGCTGATCGACTGGATCCGCGCAGCCCGTCGCCACCTCAGCGAGAGTTTCGGCTCGGACCTTCCTGTTCTGCGTCTGCACTCTGATAGAGGTGGAGAGCTTTCCTCCGACCTTCTGCGAGCCTTCTGTCATGCGGAGGGCATCCGCCAGACGTTCACGCTTCCGGCCTGTCCACAGCAAAATGGGATTGCTGAGCGCCGCATTGGCATGGTCATGGACGTCGCTCGTACGTCCATGATCCATGCGGCTGCTCCCCATTTTCTGTGGCCGTTCGCGGTTCAGTACGCGGCGCATCAGATCAACCTCCAGCCCCGGGTCTCCATGCCGGAGACCACACCTACTCTGTGGTGGACGGGGAGGGTTGGCAATGCGTCTGCGATCCGTGTGTGGGGATCTCGAGCTTTTGTCCGCGACT